AATGTATGCTAACCTAAACACCTCTAAAAAAAAGTACTACCGGCACTTAAATGAATCCAATAAAACACCTACTGAAAAATGAAATTATAACGAAAAGCTGGATGATGTAGGCCTGTGAACGACCCATGTCCTTTGTACATACATATGAAACTTTATTACTTAGTTTATATATATTTAAAATAAATAAATAAATAAATCAATAAATAAAGTTTACTAAATCTGAGAAATGAATTATCTATTTTTGCAGTAAGTGCCATAAATATTACTTAAATAATATTTAAATATAAAAGATTAAAAATCGTAATATACATATACTTTGATATGGAAAAATAATTTTACTTACTATGAGTAATTTCAAATACATTTCCTTCTGTTATAAAGTAATATAGTCTATTAAAAGTAACAATGAAAAATATTTTAAAGTTGTAATTAAAATTGTAGTTAAATAAAATGAATTCTAACCTAAACTTCTTTTTACTTAGTACTACATTTTAAAAGAATCCAATAGAACACCTATAGTAAAATAAGATTAATATGAAATGCCAGAAGATGTAAGCTTTTGAATGACCCATGTCCTTTGTACTTACACGAGAAACAATATATTACTAGATTTATATATATAAAAATAAAAGTTTACTAAATCAGTGAAATTAAGTTACTATTTTTGCCGTTATTGTCATAAATTTTACTTAAAAAAAATGTACCCTAATATACATACTTATACTTGATGTAAAAATAATCCTACATAATATAAGGGATTCTAATACATTTAACTGTTCATAAAAAAATATAGTATAATAAAAATTAAAAATGAGAATATTTCAAATCGTAGTTAAATAAAATGTATTCTAATCTGGTTTATATGAAAATCTTTTAAATTTACAAATAAGAAAAATGCCGTAAGAATTTTTTTGCCGTTAACAATAAATTTAAAAAAATCCAGACGACATGCATTCAACGGATGTCAGTTTTCATTGAAAATACATCCCTACCCCTTACCAAAATGTAGCTAATAACCGATACAATGATACAGACATAAGGAAAACTCAAACACCCCTTGTCCAGCTGAAGTAGATTTATCTGTAACCATGGAAACGTGATTTTAGCTGTGTCTTTAAAACCCAGTAATTTTAAAAGTTACTCCAAAATTCGCTTGAGGATGAAATGGAACTAATGTATTTAATTTAATTGCAAAATTAAATTCGTGGCTTTTAGCTTCCATTTTTGAAACATGGTTAGAACTGTGTAGCGAAAAAACATATTTTAAATCAATTAATTTATAATATCAATGCTCTGTAAATTTACATTGAGCACTATTTTCTAAAAATAAAAATATTTATAAAAACACCGGATTATATATCTTACTGTTCTTTCTTTTTATTTATATATATATATATATATATATATATATATATATATATATATATATATATATATATGTGTATGTGTGTGTGTGTATATATATATATATATATATATATATATATATATAGATAGATAGATAGATACGTAATAAAAAATCTTGTTCCAGCACCATTTTACATGTGATGGATGTAGCAGAGAATGTCCCTTCAGTGCAGGCTTCGTTAGCCCTAAAAATAATCACATTAGTAGAGCCCTTGCTAAATTACGATCGATACTACGTTGGAAATAACATTGCATGCAACATGTGGTAGAAAATCTTCAGAAGCTGATCCTGTCGGACTCATCCAGCTGAAAAGATTTTGCAGGTCAGGCCCTGGAGAGAACACCTGCAAGTTCAAGTCTTCTCAATGATTGTCATACTAATGAAACGAGTTGACAACCATCCTACACACACACACACACACACACACACGCACGCACACACACGCACGCGCGCACACACACACACACACACACACACACACACACACATATATATATATATATATATATATATATATATGTGTGAAAATATATAGAAAATAGGAAGGAACTGGTTAGGTAAATAATCCAAAGTTCCTTAGTATTTTAGTTATTATTTTTAAAAAATAGTGCTCGATACAAAAGTAGAGCATACCTAACCAGTTCCTTCCTATTTTCTATATATTTTCACATATTATTGGATCCCTAATTAAGGTCGAGCACTCTAAACCTTTATTTTTAAATACTCCTTTAAAAATATTTTATATATATATATATATTCGTATATTTTGGCAGAAATTTTCATTAAGACAGGTTTCGTTAAATAATGTTCTGTCTACTTATTCTCGATAGAATCCTTTCATATTCGCGGATAACCTTTTTTTTGTGCGGTTGTTAAAAGACGAGAGGAAAACACCGTTCCGGCTCATATTTTATTTTATTCTGAATACTTTCGACATAGCATAATGCCATCATCATGGTATTTTTAATTATAGAGTAAGTATTTAGTGTTCATGGTTGTAAAGTACAAAAATTGTTGTGGTCATCCGAAGATTGCCATTTTTATCTGTGGAGCCATGAATGTTATGGCTTGGGTGACGGACACCGTTTAAGCGGAGGTAACTAGGTATGCTGTAGAAAAATTCCGGGTTTGAGTAATTGCTAGATAAAAAAAAAACTATTAATGACAAGCGCTAACATTTAAAGACTATCTATTGTATACATTTAAAAAAAATGGTGTATTAAAAATTCATTTTATAAAGGTTTGGTTTCAATTTATTTCTTGAAGGAATGTATTTATTCTTTTTTATTGAGGTTTCGAGAAGGATTTTTCTGAATTGCGAATGTGGACACAATTTTTTGATATAAATATCGGACGAGTTATTTTTTGAAAGGTTGTATTTAGATATACGGGGGTTTATTTTGGAGATATCTTTATCCCAGAGAACATAGAAAAGTTTTTTGTGGTTTTTGTTGATTTTAGTGTAGTATATTGAGGTCTGTAAATTAATTAGTTTTTTTAATTCTTTTAAATTGTTTATAATTAGCAATCTGTTACGATATAAAAAGTTTTATGTTGATAAGTTGGGAGGGTATGAATAGACAAATGATATTATCTTATTTTAAAAAACGGACGTCTATATTGTTTTGTACATGAACAAGCTTTTGCACGGTTTCTCAATTTTTTTTTTTTTTGATCGCTTTTTATAGTAATTTGTACATTTAATATATATAAAATTGTCCAACATAGATATTATTTTATCATTGCTTTTATGAATTTTTGTTATTTTTTATCTCGCTTTTTAAGGGGCATTTTTCATGGTAGATACAATCGACCTGACGATTGCATCTAGCATGAAACAGACTGTCGCCTCAATAAATGTCCTTTAAAATAAAACGGAGCGTCAAATAAAAATAACGTTTGGAATAATATACGATATATATTTATATATTTACACACGCTCTATCTGATATTGAGTATGACGATTTATCCCATGAAAAATGTGTTACATCTTAATATTACATTATTTATATATATATATATATATATATATATATATATATATATATATATATATATATATATATAAAGCATTTCGTCCTTTATGACATCATTGGACTGCAATGATATTGATGTAACTACGCATGCGCACAAAGAAGGGACGCTGAAATTTTAAATTTATTTTGTTTTTAATAATAAGTGTTTGTGTAGATAGACAAAGGTTTTTTTTCTTTTTGTTGATATTTTATTACTTTTTTATGAACTATTCCCCATTGTGATAACAAAAGATCTGTTAAGAAAGATGAAACCCGGACGCAAATTTACTGTGGTGGATCTAGCAATTAAAGCATCTTCTATTCACTTTCATTTTAGTAAATTGCTCTTTTAATTAAAGAAGCATTTTTCAAATCGAAATTATGGTCAGACTCAAGCAACTAATTTCTTTAGTGTGTATTGTTTCCTAAAAATCCCTTTTGTGTTCATATGATTTATTATTTAAATTATTCCAGGTTTCTCCTATGCATTATTTGTCGCAACACTTACAGGTGATAGTGTAAATTCTCAAGTTTTAGCTTTTATTATTAAGTATTATTATTTGGTTTTGTATTAATTAATTATTTAATGTTTCAGAAGTTTATAATACATTTTAAGTGATGCTTAGATAAATTCTTTTCAATTGTAGTTGGGAAATTGTTGGTAGGTAGGATAATACATTTTGATTCGTCGTTGTAATTGTTATGTCATTAATATTTCTAA